CGTGGCCACTGCCAGTACAATCCGCCCACTCTTTATTCCCCCGGCCGCCCTTGTCTCGTTGCGTGTCCCTCCTGCGGTTATGGATCAAGAAACCTCACGAGAACCCCGCCGCTTCAGCCCTGCGTCGCCGCATTAGCCGGGGCCGGCCCAGCCCTCGCCGGACCGTTTCTCGCGATCACATTGCATGCGCCCTTCTTGATCTTCGACGCGGATTGATTTCATTGACGTCGCGTCGCCGGCCGCGGGATTCGGGGCGGCGGCATTTTGGCTGGTATTTTCTTCCTCTGTTTCTTGATGAGGTTGGTGAGATTTGATCTTGTGGGTGGCTGAAATGGCTCGCCCCGTTTCTTGGGATTTTGGTTTGGGTAGGTTGAGGAGGAGGAGGGACAATGGTCGGCGGCGGCGCACAGTCGGCCAGCGCCGCGGAGGTCGAGGACATCGAGCTCGGCGAGCGGCGGCGCGCGGACGAGTACGCGGACGACGACGAGGAGGGCAGCCAGTACTTCACGGACGCGGAGGACCGGTCGTGGCCCTCGCACTCGCGCCACGAGTCCGCCGCCTTCGAGGACTGCATCTCGCGGTGCGCCTCCACCCGCGCCAGCTCCTGCGGCGGCGCCGACAGCGACGCGGACGTCGAGGCCGGCGGCGGGCACTTCAGGAAGTCGTCGTGCGTGTCCGAGTGCTCGCTGGACGACGTCGACCTGGAGGCCGGGCTCGGCGGCGAGAGCGCCAAGAGCAGCAGCCCCGACCCCGAGAAGGCCGAGAAGAACTGCCGCATTTGCCACCTCGGCCTGGAGAGCGCGGCGGCCGAGTCCGGCGCCGGCATCACGCTCGGCTGCTCCTGCAAGGGCGACCTCTCCTACTCCCACAAGCAGTGCGCCGAGACCTGGTTCAAGATCAGAGGCAACAAGTAAGCTCCTGCTCTGTCAGTCTGCTAGCTCAGTAATTCATTCCCCATGGTTACTCTTTCAGTCTGCTAGCTCAGTAATTAACTTGAATAAACTGCCAATTCAGTTCAATTAGTTAATTGGTTAGGCATGACGCTCGAACAGTTGCAGGCAGGGTTTTCGTTTCAGGGATTTATGCATTCGGTGCAACAGTAAAGAACTGAATTTTGCTTGGCTTTTCTGAAAGATGGTGCATTTGGGTGGATGAACACATGGTTCAGGAATCTTATGGGGTGGTGTTTTCTTTAGTTCTTTGTTTCTTTATACATTGGTAAAGGTAAAGGGAGGCAGACGATGAGGAAAAGGCAAAGTGCTGGATCGATTAGTAGGGGTATGTATAGGGCTGTAGGAACTAGGAAATGTTGAGATCATTGGAGGGGGGTGAAAGTAGGATCTGTTCTTCAGTCTGTCGTTCTCACATAAACTCGTCTGTTCCCTCTCCTGAATTGTTGTTCTTGAGTGTTGAGTGTTGACCAAGTTTGTTTCTTAATGGATTGACTTGGTCTGATGCGAATCTGTGAGACATGTGTTTCTGTTTGGTGGTGTAGGTCAGGTGACATTTCCCACTACAAAAGTGTTTGTTCTGATGGAACTGTAGGTGGGTGAGAATCATGATGTTTTGCGCCGAACCTTGGTGATAACAGTT